AATGAACCCCTGTATGAAGAACGCTTTTCAAAAGGAGCTGGTGTTTTTTTTTTTCTTGACAAGCCATTGACAAGATCTGTGGGCAAGATATGTTTATTTGTCATTGTTTGACATCTCGGGAATTTGTAAATACAAAGTTTGAATACAGGGGTTTATTTATAAGTAGTTTTATCAGTTATAGTAATGCATAGTGAAAATATTGGAAAAATAATTAAAAACTGGCATGAATAAAAAGTTTTAATGCATAGTTGGTTTTATTTTGAAAAAGGTAAAAAACATTTGTTATGAAAGTTGGGTGATTTCACTGATTTCATAGAGTTATCACGTAAAATGTGATTTTTTCAGCTTTGGAAGCCTTTGGAGAACAAGCATAGGATAATAACTTGGTATTCGCATTTTTCCACGATTGTGTTAGTTGAAAATGACAATTAAGACCGCTCCGTCACTTCCTGTTCAAAAATAAATTTTCATCCAGAGTTCTGAAATTTCTTCAAAAATGTTCAAATTTGACGTTTTCGTACATATTATGATCCGCAGATACCAAAAATGTGAAAAAATTATTGGGATGCCATTCAAAATTACGGAGTAAGGACCATTTCCGGTCAAACTGGAAGTTATCAAATATTGACACACATGTCAAAAGATGACATTTCTCAAACCTACACTCCATACCAAAAATCTTTGCCATCGAAAAAAAACTCACCAAATGCCAGCGCGAAACTGATCTCGTAGACACCCGGTATATGCATATGTCGGACCTGGGGGTTATGAGGGGTGTAAATCAAAGCTAGAGCCAAGTACAAAAATAGGAAAATATATTTAAATAAAGCTTACCACAAATTCCTATCAGTTCTGGGCATGGCCGCTAATAATTGTCACAAGACTAAAAGGCACTATTACTACTAACTACTATCGCGGATAATTCACTCTCTGTAGACTGATAACTCATCTTCCAAAACTACCTTATTTTATGCTAGTCTAGCCACCATGGTACGTGATTTCTAAATACAATAACTACCGATGACCTGGCGTCGGCATTGACCTTCTATGGATTTCAGTTCCATGTCCGTACAAATTAATAATTTAATAATTCGTTCAACTTGCAATGTTATTTACATGTAACGTGATCGATGGTCTTCCTGTAATCTATGAACTTTTTTGGAAGATGAGTGAGTTTAATTTACTGAAGGGAGATGCCCTATTATCCTAGATACGACAATATTAGAAAAGTACCATGTATCAGCTTTGACGCCGTTTAAGTCTTGTCAGAATCGGGACTCAAATCTAGTTAGACCTCTTCGAAACCTATGAAGACCCCGAGGTACAACTTCAGTTGCAGACAATGCAGATGGAGTTTCAGATAAAAAGTTATCATCCACTACTATAGAACATGCTACAGATGAAAAGGATGATGGTGACTCTAGTAACTTCGCAGTACCAAGAAGCTTTACTCATTTCAGAAGACTGGATCTCCGGTGTTGTGTTTGCGATTTTGCATTTCGTAACTTTCCCGAGAAAATTACACAGAGTCCCTGTATCCAAAGCAGAGCTTGAACCACCGACTGCTCGCCACAAACTCTTCAAGATGGAACAAAATTTCGCTAAGGGTAGTCGAGGTGCTTCCAGACTTGGTAATGGTTGCACTGGCTGGAGCTATCAATGATTCCTTTGCAACTGGAAAATTTCCAAATTGTCTTAAAAGGGACCTGATTGATCCATTGTTCGAGTGTGGAGAACCTACCTTCTAATTTTCGACCCATTGCACTACTTCCTACCCTCTCTAAGATAGTAGAAAAATTAATTTAAGCAAGACTTACATCTTTTTTAAGAAAGCATATAAACTTCTTGTCACACAATTTGAATCCAAGCGGAGAAAAGCACAAGTGATGCAATTTTTAACATCTATACATACACTAGAACTCAGAAAAAAGGCTTTCGCAGTGTTCTGTGATCTGTCGAAAGTCCAAGTCATTTGATGGTGTAGATCATGGAATACTCCTGGACTCAGTCAATTGCTTTCAATGGTGAAAGGTCTTCCGCGGAATCTGTGAGTATCAGCGCTCAATTCGTGAACCACTCTTGTTCTTGATTTTTATCAATGAGATGTCTCATCTTCCAATAAGGGGAAGACTTACAGCATTTGCGGATGATCAGACAATTATATGGCATTATTGGGAAGTTGACAGGCTTTCTAAGATTATTAAGGAAGTTGTATTTTTGTTGGAAGAATGGTTTAATGCAAGCTGATTATCCCTCAACATTTCTTGCCATCATTTTTAATTTTAAATGTGACACTAACAACATAGCATTCAACTGGAAAATGAAGGTCTCTCGAATACCGAAATAACCTCGGCCTTAAAATATAGGTCAAGGCACTTAGCGAAATAACAGCTATATTTTAACATAAAATTAACAATAACAACAATAACAAAAATGCAACATCTAATTACTTTTAGGGGATTTTATAAACAATATTTAGTGCAAAAATAGGACTTTTTTTTGTTTTAAGTATTTCACTGTATTTCGAAAACTAATGATCAGATGGATTTGCCACTGTGGCAATAGTTTTAGAGCATTGAATAAGCTTTACAATGAGCCATCATACAATCCTGTAGGTCTTTTAGTCTTCGAGAAATGATTTTTTTTCCCCCAAAAAAGAGATTTTCGCAAACAATCAATTTTTTACTTCTACATAGTAGATGAGGCAGTCTTTGTTGAGCCCAAATTTGGGCCCGGTCCGATGGGTCGTTTCGGCGTAATACCTTTGTCAAGCAAAATGGGGATGTTTCTAAAGCAGTCTGTCGAATTGAGGATAATTTTTTTATACTTATTTTGAAAAGTCCACTGATAAGTCGAAATGCCAAACTATCGATCCTCTATCTCAGATTTTCCATATAATTTTTTTATCGCAACTAAAACGGCTTCGAACATGACTGAAAATGGAAAAAATCGGCGGGAATTCAACCGGAGTAGGCAACGAGCTCCCCCCGCCCACGCAAATTCCATTTTTTTTCCATTTTCAGTGATGTTCGGAGCCGTTTTACTTGCGATAAAAAAATTAAATGGAAAATCTGAGATAGAGGATCGATAGTTTGGCATTTCGACATATATCAGTGGACTTTTCAAAATTGTTATAAAAAAATTATCCTAAATTCGACAGACTGCTTTAGAAACATCCCCATTTTGCTTGACAAGGGTATTATGCCGAAACTACCCATCGGACCGGGCTCAAATTTGGGCGCAACAAAGCCTGCCTCATCTACTATGCCTGCGTAAAAAATTAATTATTGTCTGTCTAGCATGAAAATTGAAAAAGGTAGGAATTTTTTACGAAAATCTCTTTTTTTGGGGGAAAAAAATCATTTCTCGGATACTAAAAGGCCTACAGGGTTGTATGATCGCTCATTGTAAAGCTTGTTCAATGCTCTTGAACTATTGCCATAGTAGCAAAACCATACGACCATTAGTTTTTTGAAATACAGTGAAATAAACAAAAAAAAACCCTATTTTTGCATTTAATATAGTTTATAAAATCCCCTAGAAGTAATTAGATGTTGCATTTTTGGTTTTTAGCATCTATAAATGATCCTTAACAATACGGCATCGCCAGTTTGAAGTAAAATTTTATGTTACGAAAAAAATTTATCTGCCCTGGCCTAATAGCTAGGAATGCCTACTTTTCTTCAATTCAATCACATTTATCCTATTGAGCATATTCCATAGGAGGGGTGTTTTGCAAACTCCCTTTTCAAATCTGTATTTGTGTGGCAGAAGAGAGCACTTAGAAATGTATGTAGAGTCAAAAGGGGATCTTCATGCAGAGCTCTATTTCTGCAGCATTAATTTTAGCCTCATGCTGTACATTTATGCTTGAAAATATATGTGTTGTCTTTAATGAGGAGCTGGATAGACAAAGGCAGCACTTAGCTTGTTGCCAACGAGTGCTCTACACCTGCCCATTCCACATTAGTAAAGAACTCCTACATGGCAAAAAAAAAGTTTAATGCTTTGCTTTGCCTACTGAACTCAGGAAACTTATAGGTTGCAGAAGGTTTCAGTGTATGATCCAAGGAGTTTTTGGTCTCGAGGTCATTTTATACTTTGGATGAATTGTTTTACAAATGAATAGGAATATAATGTACTCGATAATGTAGTCAGAAAAATAAAGCTACATTTGAATTTGAAAAAATTCAGATCCAGGCTTTTGCTATAGTGACACCATCGCTAACACTAGGGCACTGCTTATCATATTTTATTTTGTGTGCAGTTTCATAAGCAGGGGCGGCTTCTCAATAAGTGCGCTCGTGCGCGCGCACTGCCTCCAAAAACCAAGCAAGAAAATAAAATTAAAATTTTGGAAAGAAAAGAAACTTCAATTAAAAAATACCTACCCAATTTTCTAAATTAGGATAAATATCTACTTATTTTTCTATTTTTAAATTCGCACGAACGGAACGAAAGCGCGCCCTGCGCCTGTCTTGTATATTTTTTTCTCCCGCTTGGTTGTGCTGGTGGTCCGGGTGGTCGGTGTGGAATCGTTCGGCGCTCTGGGTAAATGTGTTTTCTCGCTGTTCGATTGATCGGGAATATACAGTAAGTCGCCCGATGAAAGGGATGCGCCGTGCGCTATTTGAATACACACTTCCAATGTTGTTTCCACTCAATCGAGAATATTTCGATGTTTTTTCACCATTTTGGCGGTTTGACAACTCTGTTGTTCGCGGTTTTTTTTTTAATTATAAATTTCAGTATCAATTATGTATTATGGCTAGAATACAAACATTCAAGCCTCATTTAAATACATATATTTTTGTTTTCGATAATTTTTCCTAAAGTAAAAAGAAAAAAAATCAACATACAAAATAAATGTAAAACAGGACGTGGCAACTCCAAAAAATTTTCCAAGAGCGCACAACCACACTAGGTTGCCACTGGCCGCCACTGTTCATAAGCATTAACATTAACCATTATTGTAATTAACAATGAACTGATTTTATTGTATATTGTTTGAAAAATTGAATATTTATTATAAATTATTTATATCTACAATTTTATTTACACAATATATTATCACAAAATCTAATCAAGTCTAACAGCGAATGATGATCCACAAGAACATCCTTGCTCGGCCAAAGGATTGTTTACAACTTTGAATGAAGCCCTTATTAATTCTTCTTGATAATCTATTGTAGACCCTTTTACATATTCCAAGGATGTGTCGTCTATGACTACTTTAGCTCCATTTTTCTCAAAGATTCTTCAAAATGAAATAGACCTTCATCTTTGAGAATTAATTTAATATAGGTACTTACTTATCATCATCATTTAATTTTGTATCCAGATCAAATGTATACTGGAAACCTGAGCATCCTCCCCCTTCAACAGCCACTCTCAAAAAACTGTTTGGAGCGTCTTTGGTAATTTTCTTTAGCCTATCTGCACATCTATCGGTTAGAATTAATTCAGCCTTAATATTTTCCAAGGGCTTGACATTTGCTGCTATGTTGCGAATTTGAAGGGGTTTGGTCAGTTGTTTCATTATTCGAGGCAATAATTGCCTGGAATTGAACATTTTTGGAGGAATAAGGAAACTTTGAATTTAGATAAACTTTGGTTGAGCAAGTTCGCTGTGTTTATTTTTATTTTTATTTTGGACTTTTGTGATGATGAGGTAATGAGGTTATGTTTGTTGTGTTGTTGAACTGAAACTCTTCTTTTTTTATTCAAAATATCGAATGTTGCTCAGGGATGTTCCAAACTCCACAATTGTGCATATTGATGCACACTTTCAAATTATATGTACAGTATGCACCCCAATCTCTAGATATGCACATTTTGATTTCTAGAATAAATCTGCCACAATTTTTAAGTCAATAAATAAGAACACAAAATATTCTGAATTTGGGATTTCATTCCAGTAAATTTGTACTGAGTGTAACTAGACTGTACTCTATACATACTCCATACTGTACACTCTACTAACCTGTATGCCACCAAGAATGATACACACTACCACTACAAGATGGCCTATCCTCATAAGGCCTGTGTGAAACAAATCTCCCCTCTCTCCCCCAAGTCAACTCACCAGTTGTGACGTAGCAGCATGTTATTTCTCGCCTTGACGTAGACTGTTTAGACAGCTGACGACTAGACTTGAACACGGAAATGGTACACCAATATGGCGGCGATTACCAGAAACGAGGCCGATAAGCAAAAGCAATCCTGTGGGTGTGTATCATCCTTGGTACGCTACTGCCCAGCCGGCCCCAGCTCAGTCCAGCCTGCTCAACAATCGACAATGAAAATACAAAATATTAATTACATATTTATTAGTTGTATTCCTTTCACACCTAGGAGGAGCTCCGGAAGAGCTCCGGGGCTTCACGCGCTTATTCCTTTCGAAAAGTTTTGTTGCACCACGCATCTGTTCCCTGCAAATCGGGGGCGACTAAACACCGGAGCGAGTAGCTCAAGTGTTTCAAACTCTTGAAAGGAATACAACTAATGGCAACCGGCAACATGGGAAAGCATTGAAAAACAAGGGGGATGCACATTAGTTGTATTCCTTTCAAGAGTTTGAAACACTCGAGCTACTCGCTCCGGTGTTTAGTAACCCCCGATTTGCAGGGAACAGATGTGTGGTGCAACAAACACTAAAGGCCCATCCTCAATCAATTTGGTAGCGAAGTGGCACTTCGGCACGCATGCTAGGAAAATGTTGTTTAACGTTGGCATCCTCAATTCAATTCCGTGCTGGCATGCACGCCGACTCCGAAGTGGAAGCTTGCAAGCTTTTTCGATGCGTGCCGACTTATGTCATGCGCAGTACGGTGAAAAATAATTTAGGTTATCCTTGCGTTCGGCATCTTGCTCAAAGAGCAGAGCGTGCAGAGCGGAGCCGTAATCACATGACCAGCGAGCGCACAGCACAAATAAATGCTGTATCAGAGGTTGTCTATGATCGGAGGGCTCGAAATTTTATTAAACGAACGTGAATGAGCCTGCACCGAGTACACTTTTTAAATAAACGAACGGTAAATTCATGCTCGGAGAACTCAGATCAAAATACCGAACGCACGGTATGTGACCGGACTACACGCACAGCAGACTGAAAATTGACAGCATTGAGGATGGGTATCAATTTCCCAGCACGCGTTCCAAAGTGCCACTTCGCTAGCAGATTGATTGAGGATGTAGCTTTACCGAAAGGAATAAGCTCGTGAAGCCCCGGAGCTGTTCCAGAGCTCCTCCTCGATGTGAAAGAAATACAACTATTTTGTGTCAGATATGCCCACTTTTATTAGGCAATCTCAATCACGTGATTTTATAATGGCCGTTCGGGTCAAATATTGCCGTGACAAGGATGACAAGCCGGTGACGTTCATAAGGAGAGCATTTGTGCACATTTGTGTTCTGGCCCTTGTTGCTTTCGAAGTGAATTTTATAGTCTTTGGTGTTTCTACGTATTTTTATTGGTTTTGGCCATTGTCGTTTTCATAGTGAATTTTATAGTCTTTAGTATTTCAATGTATTTTTTAGTGTTCTGGCCCTTGTTGTTTTCAAAGTGATATTGATAGTGTTTATAGTGTTTCTACGTATTTTTTAATTTATTAATAAATTCTGAGATGGAGAGTGAATATTTTAAGGTATTATTATTAAGGGAAAATCGAGCCTCTGTTAGATCCTTTCTTTTAATTGCAGCAATCCTTTAAAGCCCTGCGTTGCCAATGATTTAAAATAGCAGGAATTTCACATTTTTCCTGTTACCTCGACTTCCACACCCAATTACGATGCAAATCGCTGGAATTTTTATTAACACAATACCTAAACACACAAAAAAATACAAAATCCGATAATTCAAATCTGGACGTTTGTCCAGAATGTGACAGAATCAATGACATACAGAATAAACAACACAGTGCTTGACCCGAACTTCCATATTGAATTTCGTTTTTGACAGGTCAGTAGATTGCCTAATTTACAAATTCTCTCGGAACATCCCTGGTCTTGCTAGCTCTACGGATTTTTATGTTTTTCCCGCACGATTCTAAAATTTATATTCGGTTCGCTAATTGACGTTTTCAATTAAAAGAGATGGACGATAAGTATGAAAACATTCATTTTACCGCCAAAATTTGCTTGTTTGTCAATGTCAATGTGTATTGTGTGTTTAGCAATCCCCTCATTTTTATTTGAATCGGTGACTTCACCACAACAAAAAATCTTTGTTAAGTGAATGGAAAATGACAATGACCGACATAGAATGATGGATCCATCGGTAAAATTTGATAATAAAAACGCAGGGTTTGAAATTGGGAAGAAAATGTAGGAAAAGGCACTGCTTCATTCGCAGAACTTCGCTATGGAGCCGGTGGTGGATTATTTTGGAAGCAAACAGCTTCTGCAAACTAAACTTGAACGTGGATTACTTTGTATATTTGATGGGCTGTGGATTTCCCTTTCTCTTGCGAGTATCTTTTCCGGCGGATTCTGATTTTGTGTATCCAAGTTTTGACAAATGTAGGATTTAATGGAAACTTATGGAAAAACACGTCCGCCGGTGGATAGGAATAAAAAGGAATTAGATTTATGGATAGGCACACTACACACAATCACCATTGTTAAGAAAAAACCTTGAAAAACCCGAGGAAATAATAGTTTCTTTCAAAAATCTTGTCTACAAACCAACACGGCTGTCAACCATTGTTTTCATACTCTTTTGGCGTCTGACAGTTTGATGCCAGAGAGAGAGGCTTTTAAATTGAAAAGGTCAATTCTAATTAGTTCTAACTGAGTTTTCCGAGCTTGAATTTACCGTTCGTTTATTTAAAAAGTGTACTCGGTGCAGGCTCATTTGCATTCGTTTTTTAAAATTTCTGGCACTCTGTGATTACGGCTCCGCTCAGCAGGCTCTGCTCTTTGAGCAAAATACCGAACGCAAGGAAAGAGGGAACCAAAAGTTCTGGCTGTTCGGTTGTACTCTTTGCTCTAGAACACGTGTCAAAGAACTGCTCCGACTTCCAAAAAGAAGAGATGTCATACTATATAACGTAACCCTACTTTGCTGTTATCTTATCAGTGTTATCATTAGTTTGTTTTTATTTACATACTGTTATAAAATCTCAAGTTTTAGTGAAAATATGGAAGAAAGTCCTAAAAAACGAGAATATTTAAATAAAAAACATAATAACTTACCTAATAAAACCATCGCAAATAAATGACATCTTTGCACAAGGTAGTTATTCACAAAAATGTTCCATTTCACCACCCTCCTGCTACTATCCCTGCTTCTATTCCTATATGGCTTTTTCCCATTACCTAACAACATTGGCAAATTTCCAAACAGCCCCCCCAATAGCATAGGAAACATTGTATTAAACAATAAAACGTACAAGCCCCATTTTCAAAAAACTGTTCTAATAATTATTGATGCTCTACGATGGGACTTTGCCACTCCAGCCCTAATGCCTCTCACAATGCAATTGACTGAGAAACAAGGCTGTATCAATAAAATACGTGTCGAAAGCCCAACCGTGACTCTACCAAGAATTAAGGCACTCACCACTGGAAGTATTCCGCAGTATATTGATTTAATTAGGAATTTGGCTTCGTCGGAAATTTTGAGTGATTCTTGGTTGCATTCGGCAAAAGATTATGGATTAAAGATAGTGTTTTATGGAGATAATACTTGGGAAAAATTGTTTCCAAATTTTTTTAGTAGATCGGAAGGTACTACTTCGTTTTTTGTATGGGATTTTGTTGAAGTTGATAATAATGTAACTAAGAATGTTAACTGGGAATTAGAAAGGACTGATTGGGATGTTATGATATTGCATTATCTGGGTAAAAATATTGAGATTTTAATAATAATTATTTATAAATAAAGTGAACTGTTGTAGGTTTGGACCATATAGGTCACGTTTTGGGACCATTTTCCAATAGAATGACACCCAAACTGCAAGAAATGGATCAAATAATTTATAAAATTTATGAAAAAACTAGGCATAGTAATACCGTAATTCTAGTCACTGGTGATCATGGTATGAGAGATGCAGGAGGTAATTTTTTTTCTATTAATTTATAATTATTATAACATTAAGTATTTTGTAGGTCATGGAGGTACGTCTTACCCAGAAGTGACTGTACCATTAATTACCATTAACCATAACTGTAAATCCTCAGCATTTCTACAAACAGATATCCCTGCAAATTTAGCCATATTATTAGGATTAAATATACCGTCAACAAGTATAGGAAAAGTTAATAAGGATTTTTTAAATCATTTAAATATCGAGGAATATTTATATGCTGTAAGATACAATACGGAAATTTTGTTGAAGAAAAATAATTTGTGTGAAAATATTTTTGATAACGCCACAAACTTTCATGAGAATTTTTTAATGAACAATAATCCTATCGATGCTAATGAAGCTTTAAATTTGTATCAAAATTGTTCAAAACAAATTACCGAAGAATTATACAGGGCTTCGAGCAAACAAAATTTGCATTCACTTATTTTGGCTGTAATTTTAATGTTAAATATTTTATTTTTGGTAATGCTTAATTTATTTAGTTTGAACAAATTTAATTTAGAAATAGTCTTTTTGTATAGTGTGTTTATATTTCAATTTTTTGAAGTTTTGTTTGGCTTTATCCTGATAATTTTAATTGTTTTCGCTTTGGTTAAATTGAAATTTGTTTTGAATTATTTGAAATTTTTAGTTAGTTTTAATTTTTTGCAAATATTTTTAATTTTTACAAGCATTTTGCAACCAATAACGTTTATTTCAACAAGTTTTATCGAGGAAGAACATTATTTTTGGATTTATGTTAGTGTTACTTTGGTTTTAATAATGTTTATTCATGAATTATCTCAGATTAATGTTGCAATGTTGAAATCAATTAAAAATTTTAATTTTTTAAAACTATTATTGGTGCTCTTAGTCATAAGATTTTCAATGGATTTAAATTCTACTACAGAAAATTCAGTACAAAATGACAATAATTGGGCAAATATTTTAATTAAAGATGAGAATTATTTATTGCATCAAACATTCTTCATAATAAATTTGTTATCTATATTTTTGATAGTGAAAAGCAATGAATGTTCACTAATAAACATCTCGTGTATAATAAATTTAACTTCAATTTTTATACTAAAATCTACTCCATATCACAATGCATTGCTAGGAAAATTAATTTGGGGCCAATTATTATTAAAAAAAATTGTATCAAATTTTTCTTGGAGAAATGTATGGATTTTAGTGGCCTGTTTGCTGATAAAGCCTCACAATGTTATCCTATTACCTTTTGCTGTATTATGTGCTGATAGCCTGAAAAGTAAACTTCAAAAAACTGAATTTTTGAGTATTACCTCTTATATTTTGTCAAATTGTTTTTACTTTTTACAAGGCCACAGAAATTCTCTGGCCAGTGTTGATATTTCTATTGGTTATACCGGATTAAATGATTATTATCCATTTTTAGTGATTACGCAAGTTTTGATACACACTTATACCTTTCCAGTATTGTTTCAATTAATATTTGTTCAACAAATTCCTAGTTATAACAAGAGGAAATTGTTTTGGCAAGTCTTGTTAGTTCTAAGGGTTTCTGTTGTATTATGCACAAGTATTGTAATAATTTTCTTCAGGCATCATTTATTTGTTTGGTCAGTATTTGCGCCCAAACTTTTCATAGAAAGTGTGCACACTGGGTTTTTGTTTATTGAAATTTGCCTCTGGTATTTTTTTATTTACTTGAAAAAGGTGTTTTGAGAATAAATACAGGTTTTTTTGTTTAAATTGTTTATTTTTTGTATGATAGTTTCCAATTTTATTAATAATTAGTAGTTTAAAATATACAATCTGACACCAGTGTATACAAAAATGGCACATAAATGTTTAATTGGGAAAAATGAGCAACATTTAATTAAATGCATGGAAATTAATAATTTTACAATAATGGCAATTTTTGTGTTTAACCTTTGAAACAGGCACATTCAATATGTATCAAAAAAATCTCGTTTTCGTATAAAATATTTCGAGCAATAAAATTTCCTTAAAATTAGATACAATTAGACCAAAATCACCTCTTATATGACAGGAGTTACCAACAGCGATTCAGTGAGGAAATATTGGGTTTTTGTAACATAATTTGGCATAAAATTCAGTCAAAATTGTTCTAGAAAAACTTAAGGGGTTGCCATCCTATCAACATTGACGTGATACATCTGAAGGGGTAAATGAATTTTTCTGTAGTTTAAATAAATAATAAAGTAAACAAATTATCAATAGACCGAGAGCCAGCCTGCTGTTTCCCCAAATCTGATAATAAACCAAATTTCTGACATAGGTCAATTAATATAATAAAAACTATGGGACGACTATAAGAAAGACATCAAAAGATGCGACTAACAGCAGGGTGTTCTGAAAATACTTCATCTAAGGCATAAGTATTTTGCTTTCAATTCAAATGTCTTTTTGATACAATTTTTGAATTCTGAAATTATGTAAATTATGCTGATTCGTAAATTATGAATAAACTGAACAAGTAAATCAGCTTATACTCACTTTTAGAATACACAGTGATTGGACAAGAGTTCCCCACTCAATCATTTGCATTAACCAGGTACTTTTTAATCTTAAAAAATAATTTCTTAATAAAAGCTTACTCCTGAACTGCTACATTTGACTTTTATAAAAAGAAACGCTAACGCAGTTCAAAAAATAAACCAATCTTTAGGCCTCATCGTAAGGCATAAAATATTCTTATTTATATAATTCATACAAAAAAAATTGTCAAATATTACATAAATTGTGTTTCGACACAAATTGCACTCTATTATAAAATCATAGAGATCATATTTAATCATAAAAAACAAAAATGGCAAATCACATTATAAATTTCACAGTCTTACCAACTTAATATCTCCCAATCAAGTTTTCAATTTGCTGCGTCAGCTGTTTAAATGTGGGTCTCTCGTGAGGATCGGCCTCCCAACAAGGCCTCATCAAGCTGACATAGATCGATTGAGGACAGTGTTCGGGACACGGAAACCTGGCACCACTCTGTATTGCACTTAATAAAACTTGCTGTTCCTGTCCTTCCGGCATTTTGTCAATGTTACCTAAAGTTGGAGGATCTTCTCCAAAGTTGAACATTTCAAAGAGAGTGACTCCGTAGGACCATACGTCAGATTTTACTGAGAATTTTCCTTCGGCTAAACTTTCAGGAGCATACCTAAGAATGAGTGAAAATAATTTTTATAAAAAAAAATATGATTTTGTAAAACGAACTAGAAATTAGTTGCTAGCACTAAAAAACCTCCCTTGAACCAAATCTTACCATTTAATCGGCAATTCCCTGTGGGGACTTTTAAGGATGTAATAATCATTGGTGCCCATGAATTGAGCCAAACCAAAATCGGAGATTTTCACGTGGTTCTCGTCTAGAACCAGAATATTTCTAGCTGCCAAATCTCTGTGTACCACATTCCGTGTTCCCAAATAATCCATGCCCTAAATAAAAATAAAAGTAATTTTCAACAAGAATTTTTAATACAATAATCTATTACCATTGTGATATCAGCGGCATACTTCAACAACTGTTTGGTCTTCATTTTTTCCTTATTTATTTTCAAATAGCTTTGCAGAGACCCGTGAGGCACATATTCCATAACCAACAAAAGATCCGGTTCTCTTAATACCCCAAGAATTTCCACTATATTCGAATGTTTCAGTTTCTAAAAATACAATTATTTTTTGTAAAATTTATTAACAAAAATTAAATATTTTACCTTCATTATGGATATTTCCCGTTCGAAATCCTGCACGCAAGTACTAACAGCAAACGATTTCAATTTTTTCACAGCCACAGTTATTGGTTCACATGTGTCATTACTCAAATCTTGCAACATGCCACGGAACACGTCACCATAAAATCCTTGGCCTATACGACCATTTAAAACCACGTGACAATTATCGTCCAGCTCGAAAATGCTTTGCAACGAATTTAGACTGTCCAGTGACGTTGTGGCCGTTGAAAATGTCAGATTTGAGAACATCATGGAGAAATCTCTGGAATCTCCAAGATCTAAAACGAGTTGGGATTAGATAAATTCATTCTAGAGACTGTTGGTTCTTACCTGGATCAAAATTAACTAAATTTTGAGATTGTAGGAGCCATTGCTGAGAGCCGCTATCCGATAAGCTGCTAGCTGAACGAGTCGAGCTAATTTCTGGGTCGCTGGCTGAGATTAGCTCAAAAACATCTGTGGCATCTTTAAGAAGAAATGAACAGTTTCAGAAGTGGTTATTAAACATTTAAGGAATAATATAGCATAAAGATAAATGGAAAACGCTGGTTCATAAGATATTTTAGATATCGAAGAATTCGAAATCGAGAAGGAAACTGACAATCTCAAAAACAACAGATCACTAAGAGAAAGTGGAGGACAGCTAGAATTCTGAAAAACAGCAAAAGAGCCTGAAGAGATTATTTAACTCATGTCTAGATAGTGTAGAAATACCAGAAAAATTAAATAATAGCCTTAGTTCTGCTCTTAAAAGGGGACAGTACTGACATCAGAAACTTCCATCCTATCTCGTTATAATGCCAAATCCGGAAAAAGATATATAAAAGTAATACGCTAAAATCCTCCATGTTTAAGAGACACTTGAATAAAAGGCTGTTTAATGAAAAGATAACTGGTTTAATTGACTATAAATTAGACTACAAGAGGTTATGGGGCCCAGTCAGTTTCCAGGGCAGAACACTAATTAAAAAGTTGAAGTCCCGTCCAGGTGAGCAAAAAAAAAAAAAATACATTAAAAAAAAAATTAATTATGGCTGCTGCAAAGAACAATTACAATATTGAATTACTAAATGGTAATAATTATGGAGCCTGGAAGTTTAGAGTGCAGGTGCTGCTAGAGGAAAAAGGAGTGGCAGAATGGATCGAATATGAATTTAATAATAATGGATACAAAGATGATAGAGAGAAAGAAAAAGATAAGAAACAAGATCCATAGTGGTCCAGTGTTTGGATGATGCTCAACTGGATATAATTTGAGATAAAAATAATACATGCCAGATGTTTGCGTAAGAATAGAGTTTAAAAAATAATAAATTGAGATTAATTTTACTTCGATCAATTGAAAGTGGACTGTAATTTTATTTTATTTGACAAAGAATGTGAATGGACGGGAACCATACAAAATCATAAAAGGACACTCACCTCGATTGATTTTCTGTCATAGAAAAATCGTTCTTTCCTCTGGGATCCCAGGCCTTTCTAGTTCTGCTACAGCACCACGTCACGATTGGGGTTTGAACCCTTTTTTGAGATATCGTCACTGATTTTTGGTAAATTTTGCGGATTGAAAATATTTAAGTCACGCCAGTTAGGTGCCCAAAATGTAAGAGAGCGACTCCTTGCGCACATTCTTGCTTGCGCACCCTTGAGGTGTCATACAATAATGAATATGTATGGTTCATGCGCAACGTAATCATTATTTCGAATAATTAAGAATTTAAACATAATAAAACTTGCACAAACATTTTCCGCCCACCTAAAACGATTGTTTTAAATTGAACAGTTCCCACTTAGAAAAATTGAACAGTTCACCCTTAGAAAATACCCCAAAACAAAAAGAAAAAATTAAATAAAGTAAACGAAAATTCGGAAACGATACGAACATAAATTGAGCATGGCTCGAGTGCTTAGTTCAACGGTAAAGGACAAAGTTTTACAATAGGGCGCTTGAACAGCCCTTGTGGAGTCCTTACAGTTACTACTCTAACATGCCCATCAGGGCCAGGATGTAATTCGACAATCCTGCCAAGAGACCACTGCAAAGGTGGCTTATTTTCATTCTTAATGACAACCAAACTGTCCAAGTTCACCTTCGACGGTGTTTCTGTCCATTTGGACCTCTGCTGTAAAGTGTTAAGGTATTCTTCCTTCCAACGCTTCCAAAAGTCAGAATTTAGACGCTGAATAAGTTGCCATCGCGAAAGAGTGTTAAGCTTGAGATGTGATAAGTCTGGATCGGGGCACGAGTTAAGTGGTTCCATAGTGAGGAAATGCCCAGGTGTAAGTGGGGAAAGATCATTTGGGTCCGATGACTGACTAGAAATCGGGCGACTATTCAAGAGCGCTTCGATTTGGACCAGCAAAGTATTAAGCTCCTCGTAAGTTAATTTTTGGTCTCCGATTACTCGATAAAGGTGAGTTTTCACGGATTTAACTCCGGCTTCGGATAGACCATTGAAGTGAGGACTTGCACTAGGGAAAAAGTGCCATTTTATATGAAGATGTTCGGCGGCATACCTCGAAAGTTCTATGAGCTGATTATTTGCGCCGACAAAATTCGTACCATTGTCACTGAATAGGTAATTACAACGGCCTCGTCTAGCGACAAATCTCCGAAGGGCTGCTATAAAACAGTCAGCTGTGAGATCCGAGGCTAGTTCAATGTGAATAGCGCGCGTACTAGCGCAACAAAAAATACAAATATATGCCTTGAATTCTCGATTGCCACGGTACCAACGGCCTGGTAGTAATTTTAGTGGGCCTGCATAGTCTAGGTTAGCATGAGAAAAACATTTACCCTGGGAAATACGGAAAGATGGTAAATCTCCTTGATAAGGCGTATAGGCTTTTGGTCGGAGACGATAGCAGCTTATGCATTTAGACAGAACAGCCTGAATGGCTCTGCGTGAGGAAAGAATCCAGAACTGCTGACGTAATAGGTGTTGGACCGTATTTAGTCCAGGATGCAGATTTTCTGCATGAATATGTTCAATAATTAGCTGAGTTACTCTGTCGGATCTGGTTAGTAAAAGAGGATGCCTGGCTTCAAAGGGAATGGCGTCGGTGTGTCTTATACGTCCGCCCACCCTGATGAAACCGGTCTTGTCTAAGAAAGGGGCGAGTTTTCGGAATGGTTTTGGCAATAATTCATTGTTTTTAATTTGTGAAATTAGTTTGGAAAAATGTACTTCCTGACTACGCCTTACCAGGACGAGTAGAGAATGTTGTAATTCGAATACAGATATTGGTCCAGTAAGTGGATTTTCCTTGTTTTTAAAATTATGAATGTGACTGCGACAGATAAGTTTTTTAATATAAGTCAGTGATGAATACCGATTAACAAGCTCGTCTACAAAATTCCACTCATTGGTCGTAGTCAGAGTAACGCGTTTTTCTTCTTGAGTTATTTCTTCCAAATCTGACTCTAAATTTCCCAAACAAGGGTTTTTTAGGTCCCATGAGGAACATGGTAAACTTAGCCAGGTTGGGCCTGTAAACCACAAGGGGTGGTTTATGAAGTTAGCAGGTGTACTACCACGACTAGCTACGTCCGCGGGGTTCTCTTGTGATTTAACATGATACCAATTGACATTAGGAATTTCTTCTTGTATATGGCTAACTCTATTAGCGATAAAAGTTCTCCATCTGTGTGGTGAACTCGAAATCCAATAAAGAACAACTTGAGAATCTGAGTATGCAAAGACTTCGTCGATTGTTATTAGAGGTGAATATATTTTCACGACAAAGTTGACTAGATCGCTAAGCAGAGCACTACCCAAAAGTTCTAGTCTAGGTAGACTAATAGTTTTCAAGGGACTGACTCGTGATTTGGCTATTATCAGGGAAGTTTTGATAACGTCGTCAGGTAATTCTAGCCTTAAATAGACACAAGCAGCATACCCAAGCTGTGAAGCATCTGAGAAGGCGTGCAATTGACATCGGAGGATTCCTTTAGAAAAAATATGTCGTGGAAATTTAATTTGGGATAAACACGGAAGTTCATTTTGAAATTGAGTCCAAAGGTCGAAAATAGATTTATCTACTGGATCGTCCCAGCCTATTTTGGCTATCCAGAGTTTTTGCATAAGACATTTAGCAAAAAATGAAATTGGTGAAAGCATTCCTAAGGGATCGAATATTGACGCAATATTACTTAGGATGTTTCGTTTGGTACAGGGTTTAGTTGACGGTTGACATGAGAAAAACATAGCATCCGCCTTTGGGTCCCACTGTAGTCCTAAGACTTTGATAGCAATGGGATTTTCTTTATCGAAAGAAAAAGGAATTTGACATTCCTCAGGGGATAGGACTGATAGTAACTTTGGATGATTACTAGCCCATTTTTTTAATTCAAAACATCCAGATTTCAGGAGGGCGATTAAATCTCTTTGTAGAGTCAAAGCTGACTCTACAGAGTCTGCGCCTGAGCAAATATCGTCTACGAAAATGTCTTCTAATAAAACTCTAGAAGCCTCTGGATAGTTTTGTTTTTCAAGTTTGGCAAGTTCCTGAATTGTTCGTATTGCCAAATATGGACTTCAACTAACCCCAAACGTAACTCTATTCAGTCGATATTCTTGGATCGGTTCATTGGCATTGAAACGCCAGAGGAGTCTTTGGTAGTCTCTGTCTTCAGGAGCCAGTCTGATTTGCAAAAACATTTGCGTTATATCAGAAAGCACAACAATGAGATGAAATCTGAATTTGAGAAGAACAGTGTTGATATCTGTTTGTAGTTTGGGCCCTGCTAGAAGGGTGGAATTTAAACTGAGTCCTTTTGATCCTTTGGATGAGGCATTAAATACCACACGGACCTTGGTACTTGACTTATCTGGTCGTAGCACACAGTGATGTGGTAAATAGTTAAGAAACTCTGGTTTTGGTTCTGATGTAGAGATTAAGCTCATGTGATCGTTTTTCAGATAATTAGTCATAAATTCAGAATACTGGGAATAGAGTGTAGGATTTTTTGATAGTTTAGATTCTAGCGACAACAAACATCTGTAAGCTTGAGTATAGGTTTGACCTAGATCTGGCCTGGAATGACGAAAAGGTAAGGATACTTGGAAACGTCCTGTTTCGTCTCTGGTTACTGTTTTTTGAAAAAATGACTCGCATCTTTGTTCATCTGGAGATAGGAAAGTTTTTGTCGGAAGTGATTCGACTTCCCAAAATTTACAGATCGTTTGATCCAGGGACGGCTCATTCAGGGCGGTAAGATTACAAGAGAGCGCTGGGGATTGATTTGTTACATATGAAGCTGTTGCCTTCCCAAGAAGTACCCATCTGAAGACAGTTTCTAGAGCAAGTGGCTGTCCTGGTGATCCTGGAATAATTCCTGGTCCTATGATTTCTGAATAGGCCTGAGCACCTAGAAGTATGTCGATTGGAGCAGGAATATGGAAAGTATCATCCCCCAATTTTAAATTAGCAATATGATGCCAATGTTTACTATCCAATTGAAG